AGCCGGGTTAATGACGCATTAAAGAAAATTCTACGCTGTTCCATATGGAAGATGGAAGTCAATAGTTCGAGCTCCGATCATTTCGTGTTTGTCCGCAGAATTTCAACATATATTTATTACCAAGAAAGTATTTGGTAACTAAATTGGACCACCTTGTATAGATGCATACGACTATATCCAACATAACATGATTTCCTGATGAATAAGCATATCACGAACGTTTTAAATAGATATTCTCCACCCACTTTTCTATTGAATAATTTTCTCGCACCAATGAAATTGAAATGCAAACTGACGTTCTTTCGTGCATGCATATACGTCTTCTAGGAAACCGCTTGGTTATACAAAGGCTTATTATCTAGGATTGTTGACCAAATGTTCCAAATAGTATAATTCAGAAAATCATAGTTTTGTTTCAAGCAACTGCTTTCCATAATCTGAAGCAGTAGATTCCTCTTATGCAACAAAGTAATCGTATACGGCAGGAAGTTTCATCCTTATCGAGAATCATCAGTACGATGGGACAATTTTAAGGTGTGATGCAAGTGAGAATGGTCCTAGTCTATACGAATGATGTGCATGTGATTATGAGTGACATTCTTGGGTCTTGTATCATGTACGATAAGAATTGAATGCTTTATAAAAAGCATCGCCTAGGAATACGATATGTAGATAGGGGCATTATCATTAGGAATACTTTATGATTATTTGTAAGGTATATAGCTTTCTGGAAGGGTATGGCAAGTTACAAGTACCGGTGATGACACCGACTATGTCTCTAGTACTGTATATACATTTGATGATTTATGGCATAAGTAAAAACTCATAAGAAGTATCGCTTGCCATAGAAACCCTTGGGACTCTTGAATATTTAAGGCAAATCCGACTCCAAGATAGGGTGAAACAACCAGCACTATACTACAACTATTTAAAACTGTAATGACTCATACGCATGATCAACACGTGATCAGAGCTCGATCCCGGCTTCCTTCCAGTACAGCCGTATAGCGTACGACATATGTCGTTTCTGTGGCTTTGCGGTGGTCAACAGCACAGACAGAGATGGAAATAATGGCTGATTGTTCTCCGCCGGTAGAACCAATGAAATCAAAGACGCGCCTCGGCCGGCAGACTCATAGGCGTCGGCAACGCATTGGAACGTGTTTCGTTGAGCGATCGCATATTGTGTGTTTTTATAAGAATTGTTGTGTGATTGTTATTGTTGTGGTTTCTGTGGTTACTGTTTTGGTTATACTTAACCATGTAGAGTACAAATGGCACGAGTGGAAGTACTGAAAACCAGGGAACAAGTAGACGGCTTCGTAAAGCACTGAAGAGGGACGCGAAAGAAATCGTGCTCAACGTGTTCAATTATCTGAACAGAACTATGTCGCAGGGAGATGCACTCGCGCGTTGTGAAAGTATGGCAGGCGTTCTAGAGTGGACCATTCGCAGGGTGGTGCATGAAAAGAAGAAAAGTGGAGCTACTACTGATCCAAAGTTTAATTTGAAGGGACGAAAGGCCGTTAAATTGGATGACGATAGCAAAATGGCGTTAAGGCGAACCGTACATTCATTCTTCTTTAGGAATGAGATACCAACCCTCAAGGCTGTACATGCAGCGATCAAGGAAAATGAAATTATACCCCAAATGAGCGTCGAGGTAATGAGGAAATCCCTGCACGAAATTAATTTTCGTTACGAAACGCGTAATCGGAAGTCAGTATTGATAGAGAGACCTGAAATAGTCGCCTATCGTCGAAAATACCTACGCGAAATGATTGAATATAGGCGACAAAGCAGAAAAATCTATTATTTGGACGAGACATGGGTAAATGCAGGTCACACAGTTAAAAAAACCTGGATAGACAAAAACGTAGTGAGTAACCGATAAGCAAGCATTGAAGGTTTGTCAACAGGTCTTCCTGGACCGTCAGGGAAAGGTCTCAAAGATTGATCGTAACTCATATTGATAGCGATAGTGGCATTTTAGAAGAGTGTGACTTGATTTTCGTCTCTAAGAAAGGAGGTGATTACCATGACAAAATGAATGCCAGCTGCTTCGAGAGCTGGTTTCAAGGGGTGCTTCAGCGAGTTGAGCCCAACTCTGTGATCGTCATGGATAATGCTTCCTACCATAGTCGTCGAGCCGAACGTGTACCGACTATGGGATCTCGAAAAAGTGACATGCAGCAATGGTTACGCGAAAAAGGAATCTCGTTTGACGATTCATGTGTGAAAGCGGAATTGTATGAAAAAATTAAACAGCACAAACCTGCGAACATTAGTTACGTGACTGATGAGATGGCCCGTCAATGTGGTGTCACTGTGCTGCGGTTACCGCCCTACCACTGTGAACTGAACCCAATAGAGCTCATCTGGGCTCAAGTGAAGGGTTATATTGCGCGCCATAACACAACCTTCAAATTACCAGACGTTAAGGTTTTACTTGAGACTTCCATACAGCTAGTAACGCCCGAAGCTTGCCAGAATGCTATCCGTCATGTTGTGAAGGAAGAAACAAAAATGAGGCAGCTTGACCACCACATCGACACCATCATAGAGCCAGTTATAGTCAATTTCAACGAGGAAAGCGATAGCGACAGTTTATTACTGTCAGATGTAAGTGGAAGCGACGATGAATAAAGGTAATTCCCAAATTTTTGACTTACAATATGTTTCAAACCACTCTTTATTAGGCATGTGACAAATCTAGTTCACCCATGTTAAACATTCATACCCCGCCTATGAAGAGCCGACTACTGGTAGTTAAGTGATGTTCACGTGAACATCGATGAGTCATTACAGTTTTAGATAGTTATAGTATAGTGGATGTTATTCATGAACAATGAAATGTGTCACTATGTAACAGAATTTTTAATCATCGCCCAACGGTGCTGGACACGACTCTGCTCAATTCCTCTGCTTCTCTTTCTCCTTATCTTGGATGTGGACGGAGCTTAGTTTGCCAATATATTGGTGATACGTATAAAATTAGAAATCTGTTGTACAAAAGTATAATGTAAACATTCAGAGCTTTACATATACGCCTTTCTACAGAAACAAAGTATTGGATTCCCAGCTACATTTTTTCCTTGTACAGTGTATATAGTACCATATTCAGCGAACTCTTGACAGGTCCTGAATCCGCTCGACGCAAGATGTAACGAGGTTCGACCAGATGCCATCTGCGTGAGCCAGTTGAAAAACGCAAGAGAAGTAGACAAGGGAATCCTGCAGGAAAGACCTGATGTTAAGATATTCTTGCCGTTTAGGTTCCACGTGTACACGCCCGATGACTTGTTCATGCCCAACACGTACAATAGGCATTTAGGTAAGTGGTGTGTCACAGATGCATTATATTGCTTTTGAAACCGTCTAAGATACAACGCTTTAGACCAATACCGACAATATTTAAGAACTTCCGTTGGTTTCAGCGAGAAATTGGCATCACCTGATTTAACCATCACTCTAGATTTTGTCTAGATTTGAAAGGTATGCGGTAGTTGCAGACATTTTTGTACAAATTTCAAAGTTCGTCGATGCCAAAATCACATTTTCATATTTTGTGGCTAGCTCCTCCTCCTGTGTGTCATTTCCTGTGCCCTGTTTGTATTGATTAGTCCTTTTTATTCCATTCTTTAATGTTCAGAAGCCAGAACTTTCTCTTTTTTCCTATAACACTCTTCCACTGTATCCCTCCCTGAATCAAAACTTGTAGAAGTTTATCCCCTTTGTGCCTCATCAGGTGCCGCAACACGTTCATTCGTTATTTCCTCTGTCCAGCTGAATCATCTCGAATGTTTGAAGATGATCTATATCCTCGCTTTTCAATGACAACGTCTCACAATTGTAGAATAATTTCTATTCTGCCAATTTTAGGACTTTAGTAGTCTTAGATGGGTGGAATTGGAAAAGTGGCAGGATACTTGGGACTTGCTTCACGTTGATAAGCCCTGACCTATTTGTATGCCTCTTGTTTTTTTTTGTTAGTTCACCCCTCTACCCATATTTTGGGGTAATTTGCTAAAATCTCAGGTAGCTTCATTTCAGGTCTTCCAAGAAATTTGTATAACGTTGCCGATACGTAAGTTTTTTTGTGAAAACTTGATGAAAACTTCAATGTTTAGCTGTTTAACGTAAACCTTCGGGTTTCACCCCCCAGGGGTACAATTGGACAAATGTCGGTATATAAGTGTAATTAATTTGATTATGGCCATCAAAAAAAACGAATTTGTAGCGAGGCCCTGTTTGAACCTAAAAAGCGGGCTTCCGGATATACAGTGGAAGAAACGAACATACTTGCCACTAGTACCAAAATAGTTATCAGAAACTAGCTGTGAGATATAAATACAGGGTGACTTGTAATGTCACGTATTCCTGTAAGGGGTGATAGATTAGGTCAAAAGCAACCGATTTTGTCCTATAATGTCCTATCCAGAAGTTAACCGCATATTTTGTCTCGTCGCCAATGGGACGTCTTCCATTAATGGAAACAAGTGATTTTTCAAGAACTCTTCATACACTTCTCCATTTAAATTCAATTTATCAGTCCACAGAATTTTCTTAAAATAGTCTGGATCTTCTGTATCTGCATGTAACATGTACCTGCAGAAATCTAATCATCTTGCAGGATCGCCCTCTTCAATCACATGCACAGGCGTGTAGTGATAAGGGTATAATCTTGCAGTATGCACGGTAAACCATACTTTGTATTGTGATATACCCAACTGAGCAGCCACAATGCGCGTAGACGTAGTAGGGTCTTCCTCAAACACACGAAGGATTTCCTCTTCATGTTCAGGAGGATAGACTCGGGGTCGACCAGCATCACTATGTTGCCTTTGAACACGTCCGGTTTGGCGGATGCGCCGATACACAGTCACAGTCAAACACAGTAACATGAGGTGTTTGGCGATTCGGGAAACGTTGCCGATATTCACGGCGGGCAGCTGAAGAATCGCCGTTACAAAGTCCGTAACAGAACATTATGTCTGCGTATTCTTCATTTGTAAAAGTTTGCCCGTGCTCGCTATGGCGAGGTCCTGGCGGATCTTCTGCGTCTGCCATGATGATAAAGAAACCACTCGAAATGAACTGGGAAACTCGAAAATAATAATCGTGCGTAAAACGTGTGCGCGTACGCAGTAGTTGATACCAACTAAACCTGATTCGCACTCGGCGTGCGGCGATGGCGTAACTACAATGATGAATAATAACAGCTCTCTCTCTCTCTCACTCCTCCACTAAGTCAGCTCTTCTCGCTCGCTTCCTCGTCGAGCCGATGCCATAAAACAATCATGGCATGCGAGTCCTTTGAGGACAGTAACGACTTGTTCAAACAGGTAATACAAATTCCTTAAAAATCCAGCCTCTGTGGGTGTCATTGTTGTTTCTCTGCATGTACTTCAGATAATTGAACGCTTAATACCTCAAATGAAAGCTTGTTAGAAAGACATATTATTTACATAAATTGCACATTTCATTACTAGGAGATTTTTTACAGAAAATTGCATTTTTTATCGAATAAGTTAGTAAAAAAAGAAAATGATACATTTAAAAAGCGTTATTTTAAAACGTTTGTAGCTTTTCAACATTTTATTACTTGTTATGAACTATTGGAATGTCTGCTATGCGACGATAACAAAAAACTCAAAATCAAGGATACAGTTTTTCTGTATTTCAATTTTAACCGTCTTAAATCGGAATAAAAAATAAAAAACTTAAAATTCAAATAGCTCAAAAATGGTTAACTTTTGTGTCAGACATGATAGGACAAAATCGGTTGCTTTTGACCTAATCTATCACCCCTTAACAGGAATACGTGACATTACAAGTCTGTATAACAGTAAATGTTAAAACGACAGGCTCTTTCTCTTTGGATATATCATAATAATTGCTTTATCAGTTAATCTACCAAGTCTGATAGTGTATGCATAATTAAGCTCGATATTATAATGTGAATGTTAGGCGACACCACTTAAAAAATCTGAATTATGTAAATACTGTGTTTAGTTCGTTTATGAATAATATCTACTATTACCTCACTCATAAGAAAGCCAGTATTTATATCACATATCGAATAAATGTAACTATAAGTCTTCAATTTATCTGTTATTGGACTAATTCAGCTTTGTTTTCCATGCTGTAGCTTTATTCGTATATTTTACTTTTGCTAAAAAAGATACTTTTGCCATCCGTCGCCTGTACGAGATCTCGGGCACCATCATCCGAAACTGTCAAATTTTTCAAACGAAAAAAAAATCCATTTTATCACTAGTTGTGAAAAGCTGACGAAATTTTGGTCGCTAAGGTAATTTTTGGGTCCCTGGTGTCAAATAGAGATTTGGAGCAGGGAAATGGTGATTTTGGGCTTCCCGCGAATCTAAGCAAGAAACTGGCACTTACTTCTTGATATACTGGATTTACCCATGACATGAGCTCGGCTGGAATTGTAGATTTTTTTTATACACCAACTACCACGAAGTCATATGGTCTAAACACCCATGGGATACAGGGGAAAGGGGGAACGCCACACGGACTCTGGCTTATGAAGTTTAAGATAAAATTCTCATTTGTGATACACATCACAGTAAGCTGACGAAATGCGGGACACTGAGGAGATTTGGGTCACTGATTCATGGCCATGAAAAACGGTAAAAGGTTGCCAAAGCCCTGCTCTAAGTAGGAATGAAAAATAAAAAACGTATCGATACTTTTGAACTGTCACATCATGTCAAACAGTCTAACGCCAAATCTGAGCCCAAAATGATTTAAAAACATCTGGACTATAATTTAGTATTCAGTGCAACAGAGTCGACATAATTTTGGTTCTTTGTACTCGTATAAGTTTTTTGGTTTCTTTTATACAGGGTGGCCCATAAGTCCTTTGAGCTGGAAAAAAAGGAATAAAACCAAACTAGTTACATTATGAAGAATTATTATATTTTGTTATCATCTTTATTGAATGGGAATTATGTTTTAAAAATCATATCGTCTAAATGCCATCCATTACGATCACGGCACTCATATAAACGACGTCTAAAATTGTCGATGACTGCGCGGCAAGTCAACACTGTAATGCTTGCCATTTCTCTTCGGATATTTTCTTTCAGGACATCAACTGATCGCGGAGTGGTGTCGTACACTTTACTCTTGAGGTAACCCCATAAAAAGAAGTCCATTGGGGTCAAATCTGGACTACGTGGTGCCCAGGAAATGTCTCCTCTTCGAGAAATTACTTTGCTGGGAAAAAGTTGACAGACGACGAGCATAGAAGTGTTGGAGGTGTGGACAGTTGCTCCGTCCTGTTGAAACCAGGTCTGCGTATTATAGCCTGGAAAATTCTGCAACGCTGGTGTCAAAAACTCTTCTATCATTGCTACATACCGCTCCGAAGTAACAGTTAATGCGCGACCTCTGTCGTCCTCAAAAAATAAGGGCCTACGATGCCATGCGCTGACATAGCAGCCCAAACTGTAACTTTAGGGCTGTGTAAGCGCTTCTGATGCTTAGGCCTTGGATTTTCGGGGCTCCAATAACGGCAATTTTGTTTATTTACATGCCCGTTTAAATGGAAGTGAGCCTCGTCCGAGAACAACACATTATTGAGCGAAGAAAATCGATTCAACATTTCATTCGCAAAGTTTAGTCTCTGAATAGCGTCATTATCTTTTAATTCCTGCACTAACTGAATTTTGTAAGCGTGCAGACGTAAATCTTTCCTTAAAATCCGCTGTAAAGATGTTCTGGGTACGTTTAGTGCACTGGAACGCTTACGAGTAGACTGGGTAGGATTTTGACGAACAGACTGTGCCACAATGTTGATGTTTTCTTCAATACGAGTTGTCCTTGGTCGACCCCACCGCTGTTTATCTAACGTCGAACCAGTCTCTTCGAACTTAGCAACCCAGTTCTTAATCGTTTGAGCTGTTGGACACTTTGTAAAATTGTGTAAATTGTGGTATTCTCGATATTTACGCCGCGCAATGGTTGCCGAATCATTATTTTGATAAAACGCGCGCACACAAAAAGCACAATCCGCTCCAGTGAAACACTCCATGGCGACTGAATTCCCAGACACTGAATATACTGCCCCCACCTCGCCCGCGCCGCTCACGCTCACCCGTTAAATTTTATTCAAATTTGAAATTTCAAAGGACTTATGGACCACCCTGTATGTTATTTCCGGGGTACCTGAATCACTCTCACAGCTGTCAGTAGTGCTTTTATACTGTATTTTGTTTTGCACAAAATATTTCCTGTAAAACTCACAAAAATGGTATAATCTCCAACATTTTTACCTAATCTCAATTTTCTGCTTTTAATTTCTATAATTTCATAAGATGTAAATCAAGTACAAATACATGAAGTGAACAAATAGATAAACAAATCATTATTTACAAACAAATTCACACATTGTATAAAAAGATTCACTCAGTAAAAACTCTGCCTTGAATGACTTAAAATTGTCACAGCACTTGAAAAGTAACCTGCTAAAAACTTTTGGCCCTACAACATTCGGCGATATACTACAAATATCAAATTTAGAATATCGAAAATGGATCTCGTTTTTTTTGATGAATTTTGAAACTTACCCCTTCTAACATCCTTAAATGGTTCCAGTTGCCCCTAACGGCGATCACGTGATCAGTTTGATCGACGAGATCTCGCACATGTCACCCCCCGCACCACCTCTATCGCAGTACGATGACATCAATCCGGAACAGTTCTGCAACGGAGACAACAGGCCTGCTAACTGCGGACAGAACTGCATGTGTACGCACAAGGTGGACATCCCGCTTAACGCCATCGTCGAAGTAGTACTTGTAGATGAAGGTAAGTGTATGCCTATGGTTAACATTTTCCGCTAATTCATTACTCAAGAATCGGTATACAATGTGACATTGAATAGTCAACAACATCGACGATATTTTTACATCTTCATGAATATCGTAGAATTCTCAAGCCTCGACCAGAATCTAGCCGAGAATGCCTGAGAACGCGAGGATTGAATGGTAGATGCTTCTTGGTACAGTTTGCACGAGGCCCTAGGCTTATTTTCAGAACGTTTGTAAAAGAAAATCCTTTATAAGTTTGATCATATACTAAGTGACATATAAATCCAAACACCCAGTTTAAATGGTTTTATTTTAATAAAAGTTGGTGAATGTATTTATCTTACTGTAAATAGCAAGTGAAAAAATTTTCAGCCTTATCAGTTGGACATTCCGGTTTTTATACTGCTTTTTTTTCAATTCACTAATGCTCTAAAAATGAATATTACAGCCGCAGTAAAGAATCAACGTTAGCGGATTTTGGTTCTTAACATCCTTTACAATCGGTTACGATGCCTAGAGTACGGAGACCTGTACGATTTCGTCAACTTAGTGAGTTTGATAGGGGCCGTATAGTGGGACTTCGGGAAGCTGGACTTTCGTTTCGGGCAATTGCAGTTAGAGTGCAAAGAAGTGTAGACACTGTGGTTAGGTGTTGTCAGGCATAGCATCGAGAAGGCCGTACGCAAAGAGCAAGGGGCACTGGACGCCGCCGTAGAACAACAGACCCAGAAGATCGCCGCCTAAGATTATTGGCCTTAAGGGACCGTTTCTCCACTACCAGGTCCATTGCAAATGAATGGTTTGCAGAACACGGAAGACCTATTGGCATGCAAAGTGTTTACTGACGAATGAGAAGTTTTGGCTTGTTTTCATACCGGCCACACTGGGTCCTCCCTTTAACTCGAGAACACCGACGTAATCGCCTTGAGTGGTGCAGACAACGGTTACTCTGGGATCAGGAATGGAACAGTATTGTCTTTAGTGACGAGTCTCGATTTTGTTTAGGCATGCACGATGGTCGTGCCAGGGTTAGAAGGCGACGTGGTGAAAGGAGGAATCCACAGTTTTTTGTTGAAAGACATGTTCATCACACTGTTGGAGTGGAGTTTGGGGTGCTATTGCTTATGGTTCCAGGTCACCTTTAATCTTCATCAGAGGTAACATGAACGCGCAGCGTTATATCCACGAAGTTCTAGAACCCCATCGTTTACCCTATCTTGACACACTGGCAGATCCAACTTTCCAACAAGATAATGCCCGACCACATGTTGCAAGAGTCACAATAGACTTCTTTCAACATAATGATGTCACATTGTTGTCGTGGCCACCAAGATCTCCCGACTTATCCCCAATTGAGCACGTGTGGGATATGATGGGTAGGAGATTGCTCAATTTGCAACGTCCTCCTCAGACTCTAGAAGCACTTCGAGAGGAGTTGGTGGTTGCCTGGAATGAGATACCACAGGAGGACATTGACCACCTGATCAGAAGTATGCCTAGGCGCGTTGGAGAATGCGTAGCACATCAGGGTGCATCCACACATTATTAAAGGTCAAAGCGCTTTAAAGCAGTGCAATCATTTTGAAATTTTTATCATTTACTTATTATGCTTCATTAAGTACTTATACAAAATTTTATTAAAATAAAACCATTTAAACTGGGTGTTCGGATTTATATGTCACTAAGTACATTTAGTCGCTTAAATATGTTATACAATATCGTAATGGTTTTAGGCCAATTATGGCCCCCTCGCAGAGATTTATTTTTGCAATTCAATTGACCTTGATCTCAGATAAAAATGCCGTCCGTTTGATTTGGTTTTTCAATTATCGTCATAAAAATATCATTTTTGGCGTCATCCAAATTTTTAAGACAAAATATTGTGACGCATTAGATCACAATCCTTGTTTTTTTTTCATACTAAATGTCATCTTTTGTTTTCCAGTACAACAGCCCAACTTGAGTCATCCCTTCCACTTGCACGGTTACTCCTTCAACGTGATTGGTATCGGTCGGTCACCTGACCAAAACGTCAAGAAGATCAACTTGAAACACGCCTTGGACCTCGACAGACAAGGTCTGTTACACAGGCAGTTCAACCTGCCGCCTGGCAAAGATACCATCGCTGTACCAAACAACGGATACGTTGTACTTAGATTCAGAGCTGACAATCCAGGATTCTGGCTCTTCCATTGCCACTTCTTGTTCCACATAGTCATAGGTAAGTGCTTGGTTTATCAAATTATGCTTGTTTTGCCTTCCTTTTCATGCACTTCATTGACCGTTCAAAGACTTGAATCCTCGTTTCAGTCAATTTACAAGTTTATTTAGATATATGATTATAGTTGTGCATGTATTAGGATCGCAAATAGTAAAAAATGCAGGACGTTCTAAGTTGGGACTTGCAATTTAGGTTAACCGAGCTGTTTGTTTACATATCGGATTTGACGGAGCCGAAAGTCGTCTCTGAGTCCTAACTTTCAGAGCACAATACATTGTTCTGAATTTTGAAATATAAGCTATGACTCAGCGAATAAAATGTATTTCATCGTTGCAGGAATGAACCTGATCTTCCAAGTGGGTAGTTTAAGCGACTTACCCCCCGTACCGCCCAGGTTCCCAACGTGTGGCGACCACACCCCAGACATCTCTTTAGACATAGCCAATGAGTATATAAAGAACTACAAGAAATAGAACGTGTAGCTACGTAGGAGATTTTAGATAATGCGATAGAAAGATCTGTGGGATACCTCAAGCATCCGTATTGTGATGAACGGCTTTTGATCTTATTACCTTGAGCTCATATGAAGGTCGAGATGCCCGATAAGAATGTAATGTATAGTACGCACAGTCACTGCCTTTTCGTGGCGTTTTTTATGTTTCGATAGATGTTATATGGTTTGTCTTTCAGATTGCGGCCCCATTTTTACTCTGATATTGAGAAAATGCAATCTTTGGGCTCTCTCCTCCATTTTTTCATAAACTCTCATGGTCCGTAATGTTTCTGCAATAATGTAGGTTGAGTTTCATTAGCTAGCTTTGATGTTATTTCTACTTTGCCCTTGCTTTTTATCCGCTTTCCTCTTTCGCAATTCCATTCCCTACTTTTTTAGCTATTCTACGATGTTTTTGCAGTAATATAAATTAAGTTTTCTTGTCTTTGATCACAGTGGACATTCCTTCTTCCTTGTACTTTCTCTTCATTTTCCTCTTCTTTTTTCCTCCTCCCATTCTTTTACCTATTCTTTTCTCCGTTCCTATTTTTCTGCTATTTATCCTACTTTTCATCGTTCTTATTTTTCTGAAAGCTTTCTCTCACAGATAAGACATATTTCGTTCCTCTTTTCAAATCATCTACATCTCTAAAGGATATCATTTACCATTTTCACGACTCGTCTAAGACGTTGATATTTAGCAATATAACACAACTATAGTATATAGTTTCTGGCATTCTTTTACCTTGTATCTAACTGTTTCTATCTATATGACTTGGTTAATACTTCATCTTAATTATAGTACTCACACTTGGATATGCTGTCACTTATATTACGTAGCATATAACTTCTCATTTTTATTTGTATAAATGACAGTACCATAGGCTGAAACCGTGGGTGTTCATTGACTCGTTTTTTATTTATGTTCTATCAATTAACAGTTTAGGCTCGTTAGTTTTAAGTAAATATTAAAAGGCATCTTGACCTTCACATGCTACTATTGCGTCCAGTTTGAAGGATGTTGTAAGCAATCTTCACAGATTATTCTACTTCAAGGACTGAGGGTATTTGAGAAATAGTAAATTTTTTCTTATAAGCAACATTTTTGGATACTCGAAGGATGTCCAGACCTGTCAGCTTGAGTCTGCTGCTACACGATTGAAAATTTGGCGGAGAGAATTTAATACCCACATTAGTTTTGCTCCAAATATGAAAGACACGATCTATGATTTTACAACAGTCTTCAGATAGCTAGAATTAGGATAAGTTTTAGAGGTCCCACAGATGACGCCACTTGAGTTACCTTCACCAAATTTGCGTACTTAGTAGGAGACGCTTCCGCGAAAGACAATACTTCCTTCTTGCCATTTTGAAGGACAAGCATTTTGCAAAAATTATGACTTGCTTATTGTTATCATCCGATTTTATTTATGTTATTTATCTATAATGGTCTATATTTCGCCATAAATACTTAAGGTAAGTATTCTTAGGATCCTACCTCTAACATAAATGTGTATATTTTTTAAATGTTTCTTCCACACGAGCTACCCGAGTAAATTTTGGTGCTTCAGTACCGACAATGTCCGAACTCTTGTAAATATATACCTCTTGTATAAAAGAATCGCAATGTGTAACTTTAAATCAGTATTACTCTATATCTTGCTCAAAAATTCGATGTTGTGGATCTTTTATACCAGATGAAACGTTTCAGTATTTCCTGTTTTGTAACATTACTATCAACTTTTACATACTCATCGTAGTCTTATACATTTTTTTAGTAGAATTATTGCATGTTACCTTTTTCTAATAGAGTTGTTTACTGGTTGAGATCTGTTACCATTTTGAATATAGATTCTAGTTATTTAAGATTGCCCTAGTCTCTTACAGTCTTTTATAACTGAGATTAACTGTTTTGTATAATGTACATTTTATATAAATAAAAGGATTCATATGTATATACTTGCGTTTGGTGTTGGAAACGTCATCTTGTACATATTTGCAGCCATATTTGTTTAAATGGGCTTTTTGATTTTCAGCAGTGGAGATTGTTCGCGTTGTTGTAGATTCGTTGTTTCAAGGACACCAGAGGCAAAAAATACTTTTAGTTCTTTTAGCATGGTGACCATTTTAAACGTCGAATAGAAAGCTCAAAGCTCGCTTTACGCGATAACATTTACTTTACGTTGTTTGGTTCTGTACATAACCACATACAAAAAAAACCTATTCCAATTTTATTGCCTTAAAAGCGAGAAGAATTTGTACATATGTACAAACTTTTAGGTAAGTACATCATAGATTCTCGGAAAAATATTGTCTAATAAATATTGGATGCGCCAAAACTAAAGTAAGACACCTGCGTCATAAAGCACAACACATTTATTCAGCAGACCTTCATCTCACCTCCATAAGACCGATCTTTTTATGACTCCAATCCGATTCAAACAAATTAAAGCTAAGTGCAGGCAAGAATTTCGAAAGTATCTCATCGAAGGTAAGACATTTCATGGAATAATTATTATGTTGTTACTAACACATTCTGCAACCATATCAAACTAAACTTCGAATTAAACGATGCTTGATCAACATATTTTTCATCTGCACTTCTAACGTTTCCTGTTAGCTAACTCACTACTCTGTGATATTAACATCACTACTACTTCTTACTATTGATTATCTTTGCAACAAAAATTTTGTAACAATTTTCATTAGATTTCAAAACAATGAAAAAAAATCGGGTTCAATGCTAGAACATGTGCCTAAGAAAAAATTGGTGTAAAATAATATTACGAAATGATGTACAAACATTTTGTTGATATGCTTAATTGTAAATATCATTGATGAAACTAGAATAGTTTAGAACTTAATGTCCCGTTCCATGCTGCTATATTTTTATCAGATACAATAAGGTATGCTGCTTTTGGTCTACACATTTACCAAGTCTGTGTATACTAACTGCAACTGGTGTAAAGTCATTATCTATAACATGTGGGGATAATTTTGTGTATGTTTCTCGTATGTGCTTTGATTGTTGATAGTGATCGAGGTACCTTGGTTGAACTAAAAAAATAATTATCACTCAATGTATAGCCAGATTACCATATCAAGCAAATGTATGTGAGATACTTCTATCACTATCAGTATTGTTACAGAATGCGCCAGGTCCTGAAACAAGCATAACCAGTCCATCGTTTTGCCATTTGAGCTGGTCTATTAGTCAACCTATTTGCCACTTTCCGTTCAAAAACATCTGCTATTTTTTTTCATTTAGCATGAAACAGTTGAAATACACAGGATCCAATGTATTATGTAACAATACCGCTAAGTTTATATAATTTGATTCGAAACTAATAGTAGTCAATATTACAGGTACTCAATCCTCTAGACGCCATATGCGACAAGCCAAGGGTTGAAGCCATTTGTGTGAGTCAATTGCAAAATGCTAAGAAGATTGACGAATCAATTCTGCAAGAACGACCAGATGTGAAGATCTTCTTACCCTTCCGATTTTTGTTCTATAAACCAGAAGAATTGTTCAAGCCCAACACATACAACAGATTTTTAGGTAGGTACTTCAGAATGCGAAGGGATATTAGAAAGTCCTTAGGGATTTTTTTACGTAAATAATGATATTAACATTATTTTCCATACTCTCTCCAAGTTTTCCAAAACTGTGCTTAGTAAATTCCTTCACATTTCAGCTGCGCCCGGAGGCGACCACGTAATAAGTTTGATAGACGAAATCTCCTTCAAATTTCCACCGTCTCCACCACTGTCTCAATTGGATGACCTTGACCAGGATATGTTCTGCAATGGAGATAACAGACCCCCAAATTGCGGCAAGGACTGTCAGTGCGTGCATACTGTGGACATACCACTGAATGCCATAGTAGAAGTGGTCCTAGTAGACGAGGGTATGTATCAATTGAATAAATCAGTTCAATACACTGCCAAAGAGTACTTAGACCTATCATTGCTTCCTCAGCTTCTTTCTGAATTCTTTATTTCTTATCTTCTTATTTTTTCCTTTGCCTTGTATTTTGGGATAATATCATAACATTTTATCTACTTTCTATGTCATTTTATTTTATCCATTTATTTTCTCAACGTTTTTTGGTTACTAAATTACCAGATATAAGATACTCAGAAAACCACATCCTAATGCTATATCTTCGGACCGATTTGACGATGAGCAATATCCAAACATGACAACAAATACAAACAGCTTTTCTTGTCTACCCTGCTTCTTTATATTTAAGTTCAAGTACCTACATTTGTTGATTTGATGCTATATTGTGGAAGGACTACAACAGATTTCTCAATAATGGTGCATTTTTAGTAATATACACTGATACAGACAGCCTCATACAAAGTTGAATCGACTATACTCAGGTACCGATAAGGAGGGAGCAGCAGAACTTATCGCATGTCACTGTAAACGAGGTATCTCTTTTGTGATACGGTGGGATACGCGATTTTGCTGGTTCAAAGGCATGCCGCGCCAACAGTGGCGTGCGATATGTTTTGCTGCTCCTCTTTTTTCCCGGTACCAGGCATTCGATACGTCAGCGTAGCAGTCGGTCTGTACCACGAAGTGCACTCAAACTCGCTCAGCTACACGCTGCCAGAGAATACATATCTGGCCAGCTGCGATTAAACCGCTCAGTCCCCATCCGGACAAGCGCTTGTAGTCTTTCTCTAAGAGGAGTTGACTTGTACCGTACATAATATTATATGAATTGATAACAGCATTTCGCAATAAGCTACTTGACGCAATTTTTCCTTGCTGCATGAAGTATCAGATAAAGTATTTTTCTATTTAACAAATTAATTTTGTTTCAGTTCAATCTCCCAACCTAAGTCATCCGTTCCACCTTCACGGCTACTCATTCCACGTGGTGGGTATTGGTAGATCCCCCGACCAAAACGTAAAGAAGATCAACTTGAAACACGCTTTAGATTTGGACAGGAAAGGACTCCTCCACCGGCACTTTAAGTTGCCTCCTTTGAAGGACACAATTGCTGTACCCAACAATGGATACGTGATCTTGAGATTCAGGGCGGATAATCCAGGTACTAAAAATGGTTTGTTTTGAGTTAAAAAAAACGGGAGATTCCATTGACTGAAGTCATATTCGATTTCAAGTCAGAGATTCTAGTTAGCTATGGTCAACATTTGCGCTGTTTGGCATAGCTTAAACTGAAATAACAGCTGAAAACCTCTTCATAATATACATAATTTTTATACCAATCACACCTCTTCCATCTTAGTTGTAAACACATCATGTATAATACACGATTATAGCTATACGCGTATACGATTGTTGTTGTATATGTCTTGATATTCATGTAGACAATGAATATACACCTTAGGAAAAACCATTGTTATACATGGGAAATCAGTTCTTGGCAACAGCGCATCGGCTCGTCTACTTTCATCGCTATTCGTACATATTTCCTACCGTGAACGCGCGTGCCGCCGCCAAGTGCGATAAGGGATTCATGACTCACTCTGCGGTTGGGTTTTGTGTAGGAAAGGTGCGTTTTTATTTAATCCAAAATATCTTAAAAATGTACTCGCAAGAACAAAAGTTTCAAATAATAGAATGGTACATCCAGAATAATTCAGCACGCGCGGTTGTTGAATTATTTGCGGTACGCTTCTCAGATCGGCCAATTCCGTCTGACGCAACGGATATAAATACCTACGAAAAATTCAAGAGGGTGGGCTGCTTACATAAGTGCCATAGCTGCATGCACCCTGAAGGTTGAAAACCAAAAAATTAGCGAGAAAAGGGAGGAGATCGAAACTGCTGTTTGTGCCGCTGCAGAAGTATCTGAGCCATGCTCAAGCAGAAAAATTGCTGAAATGGTACCAATAGCCGATCTCACACCCAGAACAACAAGAAATATTTTGCATCGCAACGGCTATCATAGCTTCAAGGTTGGAACGGTTCAAGAAATATTTCCTTTAGACAAATACCGTCGAATGGAGTTTTGTGAAACGGTCATGGAGAAGGCGAACAGGGATGGAAGTTTTATTGGTAACATTTTGTTTACTGATGAATCCACATTCCCTCTCCACGGTCATCACAATCCTTCAGTCGTTCGGTATTGGCCTCGGGAAAATAAACACCTCAGTATTCCCGTCCGCACGCAGTATCCACAGAAACTGAATGTGTGGGCAGGAATTCTAGGTAATAACATTATCGGACCGTTCTTTATTGATGGAACTCTTACGGCTGCAAAATATTTGGCGTTACTACAGACGCAGATTGTTCCTGCAATTAGGCAGCTTGGCATTGATCTCGCTAATATTTGGTTCCAACAAGCTGGATGCCCGGCGCATAATGCGGCGATCGTACACACTTACCTTGAAAGTATGTTCGGCCACCGGATTATTGGCGGTAACGGAACAATAAAATGGCCTCCTAGATCACCCGATCTAGCGCCCAATGATTTTTTCTTGTGGGGTTATGTGAAAAGTACTGTTTACACTTTCAATGAGAGAGCAGACCATTTGCATAACCTACAGGTGAAAATCGTTGAAGCGCTCGGGCAAATACAGCCTTCTACCCTCTTGAGAGTTCGTCAGGAGTTTTATAACCGCCTGACATACTGTTCATTGAATGAAGGAGACGTTTCTGAGCCCCAGTTGTGAAGGACCATTTGAAACATTTGTGTTCATTATTGCGTTTTATTTTTGATAACTTATTTTTTTGTTAGAATATCTTTTTATTTTCGTTACACATTTTTAAGAGTGTACTATTTTTTGTTAGAGTGGGTATCTTCTTATTTTTGTTATGAGACGCAACCTTTATTGCTACAAAACCAATTATCCATTCATAAAAATAAGTAGAGTGATTTAGGTGATTTCGTGAAATCTCGAAATCACCGAAATCGGTTCACAGGACGTCCAATCGAACTGGTGCGTAATCTACTGTACTTCTTCTGTCGACTCAACGCATACTGAAATTTGCAGCAGACCGCAGACCTGTATCACGAATGAGAATAATAGGCAGATACGCTGTGTTGCCAATTTGAGTAGAGCTTCCCGAACTGTGGGGAATTTAGAGTTAAG